TTGCCAAAAAAAAAAAAAAAAGATTTGTATTCATAAGATAACACCAATGCGACTGTACGTTAGATTCGTTTCGAATTATAATTTTCTCTCGTAAAAAACACACATAAATAAAAAATAATTTTAAATAATAATTTTAATTCTATAAACCGAAAAAGAAAAGAAAAAAAAAAACAAAAACAAAAAGCAAAAAGTTTACCCCTTTTTTTATGTTAAACAGGAATCAATTAAAAAAAATGGCTTCACTTGGTAAGTTACAAAAGATGACTGTTCCCATTACTACTCTATACAATAATAAGATAAAAAAATCAATTCTTTTTCTAGTCATACCAACGAAACCCAGAAACTTTTTTTGTCCATAAACAGTCACTTAAATATTCCCAATTCCCAAAAGAGAGAAAAAAAAAAAAAGGCGAATCATTTAAAACTCTCCACAGAAGTATTACCTTTTCCTCTCACACCATCTCCAAAAAAAATAAAAATAAAAATAAAAATAAAATAAAATTGAGAAACCTGTGCTGAGGAACACAAAATAAACGGCAGTGTCGACGCCTGATATGGAAATAACGTCCTGCTCAGTGGAAGAGAGAGCGACATGGATCCACGACTTGGATCCGTTATCCTTCGGATCCAAGCCCCTCAGGATGCGATTGGGGTAGTAAACAACGGCGTTTCCGGGCTTCTTCGAGAGCCATATGTAGAGAAGAACCAGCACTATAAAAATCACGAACGACGTCGCAAGGGACGTCAAGAAGGAGCTGGAATCCATCTGAGTTTCTCGCTAAAATGATAAAATCAGTCTCAAACGCTTCAAAATGTATGCAGTAAGAGACGTTGAAGCGTTAAGGGGTCCTTTAATTTAAAGGAAGAAGAAGAAGATAAAAGTAACCGTTGGGGAAAAAAGAGGAATTAAAGGCAAGAGTACTGCGTGTGAGAGAAGTAGGAAAAGAGTGTGTGTGAGCTTCAAGAGGAAAGAAAATGATTGATTTGATAATTGCTAAGAGAAAGTAGTTGTAGTTGGGCCTAGAGAGAGAGAGAGAGAGAAACAAAACAAAAAATGGTTGAGAGAGAGAAAATATCTTTGTGCCGTGTTTGGGTAGTCGGATTAGCTGGCTGGTGGGGTTTTCTTGCTTCGGCTTTTCGCTTTTTTGGTTTTTGGTGTATTCTTTTAATGCTTAAAGAGATGGCCAAAAAGGTCTCGAGGAAGACGGCATGGATGAGGGCAAAAATGCAAAGTATTATCATTATCGTAAAATGAATGGCATTAGGATTTGTTGTTTGAAATTGTGTGGATTACGTGTATGGTATGTGTGGATATATAGATCTTTTTTCATGGAATGTTTAATATGTGGATCTTCCTTAGTTAGTGATGGACTAAAAAAGTAATTATAATAAATGATTTGAGACTTTTTCTTATGTTCTTTTTTTTTTTAAGAATATAGTATTATTATTTATCAGACATTCAATATGTATTAAATCTAATTAAAAATTAAATTATATTAAAAAAATAATATAAATATAACAATTAATAAGTAAAAAATATCGATGTTTTTAAAAATAAAAAAACATCAGAAAAATTCTCAAATTTTGAGACTTTTTTTTTTTCTGTTGAAAGGACAAACTTTTAAAAAAATAATAATTGATAAATTCATTGCAGCCAGTAATCGATGAGCAAAAAAATCTGAACATTGATTCTGATCAAGTTCCATTTCTTATACTTTTAAATTTTAATGGAACCTTTTTGTAGTTAGATGTAACTACGGTTAAAAAAAAAATGTTTCTTCTTAGTATAACACCGTGAAAAGCATTTTTTCGGAAGGAAAAAAAATGAAATTTTAAAATATGTACCTATATGCGCTAGCCTAAAAAAGGAAAAAAAACAAAAAAATTGCCTGACACTTGCTAAAGCGATGGAGTCATATACATATGTATATTATGATATTTCTCTAATGATGTGTATTCATACCACACCAATATCATATTGCCATAGATATAAATGTTCTTTTTTTTCTTTTTCCCCCTTACGCTACTGATACTTTTGACTCTTTGAGTGAACGAAGAATCAAATGGGGAATAAACATGCTGTTCAAGAATAGTTATTTTTGTTGTTCAGTTGTTTGTTGTTGTTGTATTTGTACTTAGCCTAAAAAAGGAAAAAAAAACAAAAAAATTGCCTGACACTTGCTAAAGCGATGGAGTCATATACATATATTATGATATTTCTCTAATGATGTGTATTCATACCACACCAATATCATATTGCCATAGATATAAATGTTCTTCTTTTTTTTCTTTTTCCCCCTTACGCTACTGATACTTTTGACTCTTTGAGTGAACGAAGAATCAAATGGGGAATAAACATGCTGTTCAAGAATAGTTATTTTTGTTGTTCAGTTGTTTGTTGTTGTTGTATTTGTACTGCACTGAAATTCTGTTTATCGTTTTGCCTAGAAATATTCGGACAAATTGTTTTTGTCTAGCGAATTTAGAATAAGAGTGTTAGAAAATAATAGTGGATAATACAAAAGAGGAACAAGGAAGAATAAAACCGAAATTCATACAATTGTAATTCAACAGTTTTACTAAAACTCATAAATGAAAGTTGCAAGGATGTCGAGGCACGTAGACCACGTTTTCCTTAAAACAAATTCGTCCCATCCGGCGTGTGCTTGAGGTCACGTTGGACTGTTTATCGTTTTGCCTAGAAATATTCGGACAAATTGTTTTTGTCTAGCGAATTTAGAATAAGAGTGTTAGAAAATAACAGTGGATAATACAAAAGAGGAACAAGTTAAGGAAGAATAAAACCGAAATTCATACAATTGTAATTCAACAGTTTTACTAAAACTCATAAATGAAAGTTGCAAGGATGTCGAGGCACGTAGACCACGTTTTCCTTAAAACAAATTCGTCCCATCCGGCGTGTGCTTGAGGTCACGTTGGACGTCCGTCTCCCAGGATACAACGACAGTAGCTCGATGCACTTTCGGAACCGTCCGGCGAACTCGAACTAGATCTTCCCTCTATCACCAAAAATGAAACTAACAAGAAAAAACACAAAGACTTCCGAAACAAGAGAGAAACCGAGAGAGAGGAAGTGATTTCTGAAAAATTGTGTGATTTCCTTTATGTGGAAAACTCTTTATATAGGCCGGAGAAATGTGTGTTACAAAACATGGATTAATGGGATTTAAGGCCACATTATTACGGGGCTAACACCTCTCAATCTCCCCTGGATGAATCCGGCCACCTTTATTTACCAAGGTTCAGATTTTTTGATGATAAAACCGAAGTCATTAAGCTCTCCATAAACCTAATTCGGTTTTTCCCTTCATCAAGTCCCATTATGCCTCCTTAATCACCATTAAGCTCATTTACCAGCCATTAAGCCCAGCTTTATTAAGGCCAAACGGCTGGAAAGACTTAGCTGAAGCAAAATAAAAATTACAAAAGTAAGCTCATATACAGAACGAGTTTACCAGTTCGGCATTCGTGTTCGCACACATTGGCCCCCAACCCACCGGGATCGTGATTCGCACCCCCTGCGCATGAGAGAGCCTCTCTGGTATACATGCATACCTAAGCTTCAAAGTGCAATCACTTATAAACACCACATTGGCTTCACTCCTAGCCAATGTGGGACTTTTGTAATTTTCTTCTACATTTACCATTCCAAGTAACATACTTAGACTATCAATTTCTCATTCACCCAAAAACCATTTTGAGTGTATGAATACTCGATTTTGATCTCCTCGCGACGGAGAATGCAAATCCATCGAGACCTGTCCCAAAAACCTATTGGGCCCCATCCGAATATGAGCCTCAAAATGGGCCTTTAAAATGGCTTAACAAGCCATTTTTCCAACAATCCCCCACATGAATGAAAATTGACCCACGACAAGAAAAACACAAACTCGACACGGTGATAGAGTTCTGCAATCGATGCCTGCAAAGGATATGTAGGCGTTACCCTTTGAACCTTCCCTTGTGAGAATACAAAAACTTTACTGGCTGACCAGTAGACGCGATGTCTTTGAACTGTTCTGCCTTCGTGTAAACGTTATTATACTTCACACATACATCTTCCTGACACAGTTCTGTTCTCATGGTTATGTTCATTTCGGCCATGAAAATCTACCTGGTTCTGCAAGAGTTTCTAAAGATTTGAACCCTCACAATTCTCCTTTGAAGCGGCCCCACTTCTCTCTCACATAGGTGATTTCTTAATGAAGAGTAACCCGTCTTACTCCGATCGGATTCCTGACGTATTCGACGCATAAGAATCATTAAAAACCAATGTTTAACCTTTTCCTCGTACGATTTTCACTGTTATCATCATAGGAATAGGCTGGGGTTACCCCCACAGTGAACTCAGCCGGTCTAAACAATTTAGTTGTCCCATTGAACCTAGATCTTGGGATCTCCAGTCAGCTAGGTTGGGTTTCCATTGCTTCAACCTATTTTTCCATGGGCTTCAATCTCATTCCTCTAGATGTTTTTTCAACTTAATCTCGATTCAGTCCTTTGGTCAACAGATCTGTAAAATTATCTTTCGACCTTATATAGTCAACGACTATGACTCCTATTGAGATCAATTGTCTAATGGTATTATGTCGACGATGTATATGTCTAGACTTACCATTATACATTGTATTGTGTGCTCTACCAATAGCTGATTGGCTATCGCTGTGTATGCAAATTGCAGGTACAGGCTTTGGCCAATCCAGAATGTCCTCTAAGAAATGTCTAAGCCATTCAGCTTCTTCGCCACATTTATCCAAAGCAACAAACTCGGCTTCCATCGTGGATCTGGTTATTACCGTTTGCTTAGAGAATTTCCATGAAATAGCTACACCACCCAAGGTGAATACATATCCACTGGTAGCCTTAGAGTCTTGTGTATTGGATATCTAACTCGCATAAGAGTATCCTTCTAAAACACCAGGCTCTCTTGTGTAATGCAATCCATATTCACGAGTATATCTTAAGTACCTCAGTACTCTCACAATTGCTTTCCAGTGGTCATCTCCTGGGTTACTCGTGAATCTGCTCAATCTACTTACAGTGAAGGCAATATCTGGTCTTGTACAGCTCATTAAGTACATAAGACTGCCAATCACTCTAGCATACTCCACCTGGGATATGCTTTCCCCTCTATTTTTGGACATATGTTGACTTATATCCAAGTAACATACTTAGACCATCAATTTCTCATTCATCCAAAAACCATTTTGAGTGTATGAATACTCGATTTCGATCTCCTCGCGACGGAGAACGTAAATCCATCGAGACCCGTCCTAAAACCTATCGGGCCCCGTCCGAATATGGGCCTCAAAATGGGCTTTTAAAATGGCTTAACAAGCCATTTTTCCAACAATGAGAACATTGACAAAGTTGTCTATAGTTTATTATTTTTTCCTTTCCCACTTTTTTGGTTAATATTACAAAATTCACTCCGAGTAGAAAATGTTTAGAAGTATTAACTTTAAAAATAGAAATAAAACAAACAATAAACAAGAGAAGTAGTGAAATAGTATATTTGATAGTATGTTTAGTAAATTATAACCATATTTACTTATAACTACCGTAATTATCCATAAATTCGTTCAGTAGGGCCAGAAAATGGTAAATACTGTATATATCATAAAATATTTTATTTACTCAAAAGTACCGTTTTTACTTATAAATATCTTATTTATCAAAAAATGTTGTTTTGCCCATGAATACTATATTTACCCAATAATCTGATTGTTGACACCGACAACCGGTGAATATAGTATTTCCCATAAATATTGTCGATCGTCAACGCTAGTCACCAAAAACTAGTAAATATGATAGTTATTCGTAAATAACATATTTAGAAAGAAATATATACTTACTCAAA